TGTCCTATCTAGGACACTAATGCCCACAATGCGTAGGTGACTGCTCAGATAGGCAGACCCTGGTGGGATGGTGACTTCAGCATAGCATCACAGATAGAGAGCTTTGGTTGATAGTCAGGAATCCTATGCTCTAGGCCCATTTGTGCTGCACATTCACTGTATGAATGTCTCTCTTTCTCTCTGGACCTCAATTTTCCCCACTATCAGAGAAGGGGCTGTCAGGAAGGCATGATCTTTTTGGCCCCTTCCAGCTTTCTCATGCTCTGAATCTCCACCCCTAACCACAGGCCCCAAAAGATCTACGAACCCTGAGCTTGCATCAGGTTTCCCCCCTTTCAGAACATCAGACCTGAACCTGTTATTTTCATGATGTGCTCTGAACAACCCAAGATTTCATGTCACTGGGTATAGCATAGATGTAATTTGGAAAAGAGGAGGTTTCTTGGAAGTACAATAACAGTTCCCATTATTTATTTTTTAAATCTTATTTAAATAAGGATTGTGCATTTAAAGTTGTATTTGATTGAACAACTGTCCTTTTTTTAAATTTTCCCTGACAAAAGCTATGAATTATTAATTTCTGTCATTGTATTCACTGAACAAATGTAATTGCAAGTAAATGTCTGAAGTTAATGAAAAAATTAAGAAAAAAGGATTTCTTTATAAGAATTAATGAAACATTTCCACAAACCTCTTTGAAATCGTGATTATGAAGCCTTGCAACATTTCTTTGGAACTGCAAATCCAGAGTAAAGGGGTTTGAGCTCTACTCTTTCTTTGGCATGAAGGATGAAAACATTTTATTAAGATTGTACCAGCTGTGGAAATTAACACATACAAAGATTCTAACCTTAACCCTCCCAATTATTCCAGTTCTATTTAAACTTTTTTTCTTTTTCATTCATTCTGAGCCCTCTTTCATTTATGGGAGGTCACACAAGCTTTCCATCATGCTATCCTGGCTGCTGTCATAACTATTCTTATTTTTGTGTTAATGTAAGACAATAAAAAGTTATGCTTTAATTTCTTAAAGAGCAAAGCAAGACTACAATGTAATCAGCAATTATACCTCTACTGTGTTAAGTCACTGAGATTTGGTGGTGTTTATTACACGGTGTTAGTATGTAGCCTCAAAGCAGAGAACTGAAACAATTTCATGCCTCACCCCTCAAACATCCTACAAGTAAGTCCTTATCAACACCAAGAGACTCCAATTTCATCTAATCCCCCCAAGTCTCTTCAACCAGCCCCCTCATGTGCCCCCAGAGATTCAGTACAGTAGTAAAAATTGCAAATCCAATACTAGGCTACCTGGGGTCTGATTTGAGTTCTGTCGCCTAATAATGTCGTGATCCAGGTACAAGCAAGTTCCAGGGACTATAATTCTTGTCTTGCTGCCTTCATAGAATTGATGAGAGGGCTGAGCGAAATAAAAGCCACTGTCAACACTGAGATACAAAGGTAAAAACACTTCTTTTGTTTCATTATTTTAATTTATTTTGTCACTGAGGAATCTTAGCAACTATTACCCGGTGCCCTACTGTGGTTTCCCTCATCCAAACAGAGGTTGGAAGGTTATTGTCCTTCCTGGGATGGCAGCTACCTACATTTCCCAGCATCCTTTGCAGTTAAGTAGAGCTAAGTGACTAAGTCCATTAAACCTCTGCTATAGCTCCCTTGGCTTCTCTATCTTTTTCTCTTTTCCTAGGTAAAGGTGGACTGCATAGTGAAGTACGGCAAGTCTTTGCAGGTGGCAATGTTACCAACTGGACAAATGCTGGGTATTTAAATAACTATGTGGAAATGTACTTTCTGAGCAACCAAGAGGACTACAATGTAAGCAGCAATTACACCTCTACTGTGTTAAGTCACTGAGATTTGGGGTTGTTTATTACATTAGCTAGCATAACATATTCTTACTAATTAGCCAGAGTGAGAACTATAAGAAATGTGAATGTAAATCTACAGAAAATGCATGTCAAAATTAAGGGCTAGCAGGTGGCATGGTAATTAAAGAATTGGATTCTCACATGATCAGCCATGGTTCAAGTCCCAGACCTAGCAACTTGAAAATCATGCCAGGTGCATGACAGTACATGCCCAAAAATCCTAGGAGGAAAATGAAGGAGGAAGGATGGCAGTGTGGCTGTCCTCCCTGGGGGTGATTTCTCTCCTTCCCTCTTCCTGTCTCTCTCTGGTGAGCACACACACTCCATGGGGAAAAAAAAATGAGTCACTATGAACAAATGTGTACCACAAAAAGTAATATTCAATGTTGAAGATGAACAGGTGCATATTCTTCATTATTATGCACCATATAAATGCCTTAAAAATCACACTGTAGCCCACAATTTTGTGTGTGTACACACACACACACACACACACACACACACATATATAATTATATGTCAAT